AGTGAACAGAAAGATCATCGAAAAAGAAAAAATTTAGTGGTTCTATTCATTGGTTGTTGATTGGATTTTGAGATCTATAACATGCATTTTAAAAAGAGATAGAGTGAATTTGAATTTCATACTGACCTTAAAGGGGTCATAGGATGCCCATTTTCCACAAGTTGATATGATTCTTTAGGGTCTTAATGAAAAGTCTGTAACATAGTTTGGTTAAAATTTCTCAATGGTAGTGTAAAAACACATTTTTTTACCCTGTCAAAAACAGCTCTTTTCAGATCAAGCCGTTTTTGTAGCATTTTCCTTTAAATGTTAATGAGCTCCCCTCTCTTCCGAGCGCTCCGGCGGTGAAACAATGGCGGACTGATGACAGCTCACTCAGGGCGGGTCTAAGGTAAGACACCAGTCCAGTCTGTGCTGAAACGCTACTGTCAATCAAACTATCGTGGGAGGGGCCTGTCTGTGTGTCACACAGACAGGCATCTGAGATCGGCTCGATTTGAGAAAGGGGAAAACATTTAACCAGATAAAAATAATTTTTACCAGATTTTTATCAATATAGGGTGGTTGTGTACACACACTGCCAACACACATTTCACTTCAAACAACTTGTAAAAGTGCATGTAGCATCCTATGACCCCTTTAAACCTTTTTAATGAGAAAAAAATAAACTGAGAACATGAAGCAATGCACATGACTGAGCACAGTACAGGTGTTTCTACAGCTGTCTCTCATAATCCCAGAACTGAAATCCCAGAACGACTGAACTTGTGGACTTACATCAAAGACCGAAGAGTCTTTTAAATGTAAATCTTCACAGGAACTCGATGACTGTCGTTCTGTCCCTCTCTCTTATTCAATGCAACAGCTACAGTAGATTGCGGTGTGTTTCGGAGCTGCTCACAGCATCTGTGCAAAGCTGCAGTAAATCACACTGGTTCCTCTCACTCTGAACCTGCGGAATCAGCAACTTCACACGTTTACATTTAGAACAGCCCCAAACTGGAGCCGTTTCATTTGTAAATCGTATAAAATGCTGAGCAAAGACATTTTATTTTTAAACATTAAGACAATCTGTGCTAAGGAGGAAGACAAATTAATAAGAAAAAAAAGTATTTGCACACGCATGCACACACACACACACACACACACATTTTTATTGTTATATGGTGACTACAAAAAAGCCATTAGTTTATGTTAGTCAATGCATTTCATAACATTAACTAACAATGAGCAATACACTATTTTTGTACAGTATTTATGAATTTTTGTTAATATTAATAAAAATAATTTTTTTGTTAGCTCAAGTCCCAAAAAATAAGAATGCATTAGCAAATGTTGAAATAAACATTAAAGGGGTCCTATTATGCTTTTTAAAATTTTCAACTTTAGTTAGTCTGTAATGTTGCTGTTTGAGCATAAAAAAGATCTGCAAATTTACAAAGCTCAAAGTCCACTTCAAAAGGAGATATTTTATTTAACAGAAATCACTTTTCAAAAACTACAACGAACGACTCGTTTGGACTACAACACATATTTTCCGGGATTTGTGATATCACAAATATCGACGAATGGGACGAGACCTGGTTGAGCTGCACTAGAGAAGGCAACGAGTGTTATCACTATGTCGGAGACACGCTAGCTTTCCCAAGGCAGACAAACTTAGAGTGGTTACAATCATACAGGTTTAAATCATAAATCAAGACTTTGTAAAAGAGCACAATAGAACCCCTTTAACTAAATGCGCTGCTGTCTTAAACCCCGGTGCATCAGAGCTGCTCTCATTGAGTCGGATTGGAATTATTTTACCATGTTTTGCTGTTTTGGACTGAAAGTGGAATGCTGGTGTTTCCGTCATTTGACCAAAGTCCATCCTTCATCCCCTGCTGCATCAGAGCTGCTGTCCTTGGTGTCAGCCTGCTGGTTTTGTTCTTTCAGTGGCATGTCTGGGTTTCTCTCGCTGGGTTCTTTTTCCATTTTTCTCTGCCTTCTAGGAGGAAGCGACACTCAAGGGCCGTTTGCCAACAATATAGCCATTCATTACTGATACAGCTATAACAGAATCAAGCGAGAATATGAAACCAGCCCGTAACCCATGCTCTGGCTGTTTTTCATCATGACCTTTGAGCTGGAAACAGGTCTGATTGCAGAAATTACGGAGCACATCTCCTCACTGCCTAAGCTGTATGGCAGATTTGACACATGTAGACTGCAGTCTTTCTTTTGGGAGGCCTTTTGCTTCTTTTGGCGCTCACTGTATGGCTTTCTCAAAGTGGAAACGTGTTGAGCCCACATGCATCGTCTTAACTATTAGCTCAGAAAAAAGCATCAGGGCATCCAGGTTGTTTTTGTGTAATGCCGGTGTACAGAAGTAACACAACCAAACCCTAAAGGCTGGTATTTCTCAAAACATATGGGGTCCAAATCGGAAGAATGTTGCAAGTATAACCCTTGCTTGGTAACATGTGGCTGCAAATCACCCACAAACAAAGACAGTCTTAGTTGACTGTTAACATCACCTAAACCGTAGCACATGGCCACTTTGACTTTCCTTCAAAGATTATTGTTGCTAGAAAGCTCTTTGTGCAAAGCAAACCGCTGTGCAGAAATCACTGCAATGACATGAATACACTAGTGTGCTTTTATTGCCTTCACATGTTTACCCAACAACTATTACAGAACTTATGAAACGATGGTGTTGGAATTTAAATTTGTAAGAGTTTTAATTCTTAAAAACAACCAACCAATTTAAAATTACAGGTTCAATTTGAAAGCATTGTAGGTTTTCCAGCTCAGTATGTAGTGCCGGTGGTTTTGCAGGCATGATAACGGTGAACACACAAACCATCAGTCACACACAATGTCTGATCCTCTACAGTGTCTTTATTTGTCCATCTGTTACCAAGGATACTGTCAGAGGAATGTGTGGAGCATTCATGTTCAAAGCTCATGTTTTCTTACACAGCTTCTGCAAATCACTGATTCTGTCCAAAGGGAAAATTAGGAACACTTACAAGTGGAAATGTGGTGGACCGACTTCAAATCGCATATCGTTGATTAATACATGTATTTATTTCTGTTTAAATATGTTTTTGTCCTAAACGCAGTGTGTGACTGTAACCACAGTCTCTCTCTGGCTCTCCCTGCAGGGCTGTTTCCTCTGGGTTGCTGACTGGACATCTTTATAATGAGACGGAGGTACAGCACGTTAATGTGCTTGTGTCTGGAATTTCTGACTGCAGAAAACAGAGAAACACCCATTTTCCTAGAGTTACACCCACTTACCACTGGCTTCATGCTGCACTATGTCAAAATAGCATTAACTAAGACACCACTCACACTCAACACTGTTTCCATCTTGCTCATGGAGAACCTGATGTTTGCAGTTTTGAGTCCAGCCATCAATATATCACTTACTTTCTAAATGTGATATGTTGAATAAACAACATCAATACACTGCGACTTTAAATGTTTTTTTTTTTTTTGTTGATTCTAGCCAAGTGCTATTTTTTGTTTAAGCTCATTCTCTCAATAAATGAACAAATACATAGGTAACAAGCAATTGCAACCCACCAAATAACTTATACACAATATATGGCAGTATAAAAAGCATCTGTTGTGAAAAGTCTTATTGGGTCATATTAAATATGGTAAACGGAAGCTTAACCCTATAAACCCTCTAAATGACCAATATGATCAAAACTTGCTGCTTTGCTGAAAACCTGTTGTGCACAATCTACATGCCTTCTGTCATCTAGTTTATTCCTTTTTTATCATGTAAAAGGCCTTTTAATGTAAAAATGGTAATACCACCTTCTGGTTATGGTTCACATGTCTTTTTTGCTGTGAAATCTTTAATGTTTTTTAGAAAGTAAACATAAAAATTACTTTTATATTGTTAGCAATTGTTTTTCAAATTATTATAATTTTTTTTAGAAAAAAAAATATCAAAATGTAAATATCAAATATACATCAGGCTTTATTGAGGAAAGTTTATTTGTACATCTCTCAATAATCATTGTATTTCCATAAAAAAACCTGACTATTATGAAATAATAGTAATAAAAAATTAGGGCTGTCAAACGATTATTTGCGAATAATCGCATCCAAAATACAAGTTTGTGTTTACATAATATATGTGTGTGTACTGTATAGGCTATATTTTTAATGTATATATATACACACACATATGCATGTATATATATATATATATATTATTTTTTAAAAATAAATTATAAATATTTTATATATAAAAATAACAATTTTTTCTTAAATATACACATGCATGTGTATGCATACATACATAATAAATATAGCCTACACAGTACACACACATTTATGTAAACACAAACTTTTATTTTGGATGCGATTATTCGCAAATAATCGTTTGACAGCCCTAATTTTTTAAAACTGGTATTTCGTATGTCAGGCTTCACAGGGTAAAAGCCTGAATTATATCTGTTAATCATATAAAGCCATCTTTTCTGTTGTATTTGGAGTGTTTATGAATTTTTTGAATCGTCAAAGTTTTTTTGTTGCAGACTTTGAGTTGAGGGGAAGACATAGGCTATAATAGGTTTCATTAGAACTATCTTAACTGTGTTACGAAGTTGATCGAAAGTCTTATGGTCTGGGACGACTCCGATGAGCTAACGATGACAGAATTTTTGGATTTGCATTTTTAGGTGAACTGTCCATTACATGTTGTTGATTCTTGTCTGAATGTATGTTACTGTGGTTTACTATGCTAATTTGTTTATATGATATTGGAATTTTAGACAAAAAAATATGGTTTTGCACTACGTGTGTAGACTACGTACCTTCGACTCCAAATGTACCAGCGCTTGTGACAACTAGCCCCGGTCTGTTTCCCCGCTGTCAGCTGTGTGGGCGGCAGCAGCATCGCTCAGACTCAAACTCTATCCCTCTCAGTAAAGTCACATCTGCTCATGATCAGGTGCAGACGATGCGAACTGTAATTTTACCTCATGATTTCACCGAAGATGGTCGCGGCACACACCTCCAGCCACCCGTCCGCTTCTGCTGAGTGGATCATCTGTCTGGATAAGAGGTATACCCTGCACAAACTTCATTCTTCTGTCCTAATGCTGTTGTTCTGGTCCACCTTCAGCAATCTTATGCACATCAGTGCCTCAAGGAAAAGACATTGTTAAACACTCATCAGAAGTTTCATGCCATAAATGTCAAATGCCATTGTCAGAGTGATGCATGTGATTTCATTCATAATGCGATAGATTTCAGTTGACAGATTCATTGCAAGCTTCACGTCTTTCGCTGCTTTCACTGTGCATATAGTAGCTGGTGAACTGAAGTGCACTGAGTGTAGCTTGTAAAGGGTTGTTTGTCACCTGGAGGAGGTCACCAGTGCTGCAGTGCTTACTGCAGACGCATGAAGAGACACTTTCTATGAAGGGCTTTAGTAACCCAGACCAAACTTACAGGGGTCATATGATGCTGCTAAAAAGAACATTGTGTATTTGGTGTAATGAGATGTGTTTATGCGGTTTAAAGTAAAAAAAACACATTATTTTCCACATACTGTACATTATTGTTTCTCCTCTATGCCCCGCCTTTCTGAAACACATCGATTGTTACAAAGCTCATCGGTCTGAAAAGCGAGGTGTGCTGTGATTGGCCAGCTATCCAGAGCGTTGTGATTGGCCGAATACCTCAAGCGTGAGACGGAAATGTTACGCCCCTCACCATACTGTGATGCCCTGTCCGGCCGGAGCGACGAGACAAAAACATTAAAACCCATTACAAACGAGGCATTTGTTGCATCCAGTGGGGACATAATTACTGATTATAATGACTTATACTGTTGCATTGTATCGCGCCGCATAAACATAAAACTAATAAATATGTCTGCATTTGTGATCGGAGAAATTACAAACAACAAGCGCTACTCTACACTGCTCAAAACTCTCTTGGCAAATTCTTTAAATATGAAAACGTACTTACAGTCTGTGAGTCAGAACAGTCGGCATTGTAGTCTACTCTACCAGGATCAGGAAACAGTCCTCCATAAAATGTGCTGCACACATCTGAATATTTGGGTTGAAGTGTTCTGGAACAGTGTTGTAAATACAACTTAACCACTGATTTCTAGTCGTGTCCTCTTTTGGAAGACCAAACAAAGTAGTTTC